GGACAGAGCAGGTTAGGCAAACTTGTAATAGAATCACTAATACCAGTGATATTGGATAGTGGGTACGCATTCCTCCATGTATGTCAGCAGTTGTAAGAGGCACGATTAGCTGTATTTATTATAGGTAGGCCTCTGTATACAGATAGACAACTAGTGAGGATAATCAATCTTACTCAACATGCTTTAATACTTTGAACTAATAAACTACTGAACTATGGTTTCGTTCACAATGAGCCACATTAACAATTTTAACTGAAGGATTATGGGATCTTCTTTTATTAAGCCAGCTTGTAAGTGACAAAGTCACAATATTTTTCACTTTATCAGAGCATCTTTATCTTTGAGAGAACACCTTATAGGAATGTATACTAGCGCAGTGCACTTTACTCAAGACGGGCAGGCATACACATTATCTCTGTATTACATTTAGTTGCCTCAAATATTAGAAGCAGCACAAGCTTTAAATTTTGCTCAGGTGTAACCATAATTTGAGCCTAAAAAAAACCTACCTTATTGATGGTACAGCTGAATAATGGTTAATACTAAGCTATAATGTATATTGTACATTTAGGAAACACAATTGATGCTTTTTTAAATTTTTATGCTTTACTAAATTATTACTATATAATTTCACAAATTCATAATAGATTATAAAGTTCCAATTGAATCCAAGTATATAAATTCTTGAAAATTTATGTCTGCAGACACCAACAGCTAAACACTGAACTGAACTCTGGAATCCAGTTGCAGACAGGGAGGAGTGATGAGCAAAGGGATCAAGACCAGGCTGGAGAGACCCACGGAAACAGCTGACCTGAACAAAGGGAAGCTCATAGACCCCAGACTAATAGCTGGGAAACCAGCATAGGACTGTTCCAGACCCCCTGAATGTGGGTGTCAGTTAGGGGGCCTGGGCAATCTATGGGGCCTCTGGTAGTGGATCAGTATTCATCCCTAGCATAGGAATGGACTTTGGGAACCCACTCCACAAAGAGGGATACTTTCTTAGCCTAGACACATGGGGAGGGCCTAGGCCTTGCTCCAAATGATATGACAGACTTTGACGATCCCCCCTGGAAGGCCTTACCCCTCCCTGTGGGGGCAGAAAGTGGATGGGATAGGGTGTTAGTGGGAGGCAGAGGAGGAGGGGAGGGACAGGGAAGTGGGATTGACATGTAAAACAATCTTGTTTCTAATTTAAATAAAAATAGAAAAAATACTTCTGTATTATGGCTATGAGGATAATCATGTTAGTATTAGAATGCTATAAGCCTATGATATTGGTTTTCCATTTGTCTTTTCTAGTGGTTTGTTTATTGTAAGCAAAGTGCAGTGAAACCTCTGAACTAGAGCACTCTGTGGGTAGAAACAGAGTTTACTGGGAGACAAACTGCCACTGGCTACCTCATGAGAGCAGAGAGCACAGAAGCTCAGTCAGAGAGCAAATGGACTTGACATGATAGCCAGTGGGGTGGGGGATCTTTGAGCTGATAGGGGCTCCCTGGGTTAATTAGGAACTATGTGTCTTTTGCTTGTGGCAATTCACTGTTTGGGCAGAGAAGGGTGGCATTCCTGACAAACACAAACCCACATCACTAGATGTCTGAGGGATGCTGAGTTTAGGCTTCTGTTTACCTGACAGGAATCTGGCCTGGGTTGGGCCCATTACCTTAAGACATTGTAAGGAGCACTGCCAAATTTTGGAGACTTTTGTGAACTAACACTGATGAATTGGCAAGTAATCTGGAGGAACACTGTGTTCCCTACATGTGACGTTTGCTCAGTAATTAAAGTTCAAAATTCATCATTTTTGCCCTTGGGCATGAGGCCACCATAGCAGCAGGATTTTTTCCTTTGCCATTATTTCCTTTAGGTTCATAAGTGTTGTAAGTTGTTTGTGTGTCCCCATCTCCCACTCCTGACTTTCACCCTCAAAGTTGCAGGGTTTCCTTCATCTTTCTGGTTCCTAAGAGGAAAAGAAGGACAGGAAGTGACCTGGTTCCTGCAGGCCAGAGCCTTCCTGTGACCCTTCATCCCAAAGCACAGAATTCAAAAACCACTATTGCCTTCCTCATCCTTTTAATGCAAAATCTCTAGAGTAGCTTCTGCATCTAGATGACTTTAAAGAATATTTCCTGTCTTGGGATGCTCACCCAACAACTTCCTAGGGTTTCCAGGGACTCCTCCAGTGGGTGGTGGCCTCTATTTGTGGGTCCCATGGTATTTAATGTTAGGCAGCCACTGCCTTCTCCATTTGGACCCAGTGGCTGTCATCTGGCTTAGATCAAGTGACCCTAAAGCAAGGAGGGCAGGGTCCTTGTGCAAGGTCCCCAGAGTTCCTGAGCATCATTCAGAGCACAGGGGCACTGGCCAGACACACTTTTGCCTTTCAATGGGAAGCATTAAGTCTTTTGTCATTTTGTCATAAGGGGGCAGGTGAGAACATGAAGGGTCAAGTGGCAAGAGAAGGCAGTGCCACTGTGGCCAGTGACGATTATCTCCCTCGTGAATGGGACACTCCTATTTTGCCAGGCTGAAAATTCGAGCCTCATCGACTGCCTTGACAGGTGAGTGGGTGGTCAGAATGTGAGTCCCTCTCTTGCAATCTGTTAGTTACACCTGCCCAGTATCTACTGACAGCTCCTTCCCGGAGCCTGTCGTTTCCCCTCTGCCTCTCTGGAACAAGCCTTTGGAGCGCAGACGGAGCCTTGAGAGCAGACTCAATTCAACTCTACTAGTAGCTCCATTCAAAATGACCAATAGTACCATGTGAACACCCTCATTGGGATATGAACACTGGAAATTCTTGGATCACAGCCCTGCCTTGTTAGAGCTCCAGAGTATTTGGTTGTAGAAGATAGCCTGTGGCGCTTGCCTGAACTCTGGTTTATTTATTGCTTGTATGACCTCTGGTTTATTCATTTATTAATTTTACCAAGCAAGTCTTTACCACAAGAGTTACTGCACAGTGTGTCAGTCAATCACAACACAGAAGAGCAAGTACAAAAGGACAAAACAAAAATGCAGAGACACGTATATGTGAAACAGCAGAATCTTTTACCTCAAATCATAAAGAAATGACAGTAGCAAAGCACACATGATAAACTGTTCAACCAGTGGGCAGGGACAAAATAACAACAACAGAAGTAACTGGGCACCAACTATGTGGTTTTACACTGTGACTGAGAGGCCCTTCCTATGGCTTCTGTGCATAGTGGATGCCAGGGATGGAGGTTTTCATGTTTGCACAACAAGCTTGAGAGCTGTCCCATAGTGAGGTATTGTTGCATAAAGCAGCTATCTGGAAGGGTTGATTACACTGAAAACCTGGAAGGAGACAGAGAGGTAAAAATTGTATAAGGTCACTAATGCCTGAGAGAGGCCAATTTACATTTAAAATGCAAACTCCAACAGCATGCAATTGTAGTAATAATTCACCGAAATTCACCCATTGGTGACTCAGCACCACTTATTAATATAAGACTACAAAGTTACTTAGCCTTTTATTATTGCCCCAAATAAGGGAAGGAATTAACTTAACAATGTCCATTTTGGCTCAGTGTTTCAGAGGTTCAAACCCATGGCTAGTTGGTCCATGATTTGGGCCTGTGGTGAGGCGACAACATAGCATGGAGTGTTCAACTCATAGCCAGAAGAGTAACAGGCACAATTTCCTTGTAAGCACATACTCCTAATGACCTAGAAACTCCTGAAGGGCAGGCCTGAAAGTTCTTAATATAGAGCGTGCCTATGCAGCTGAAGAGGATGGTCATCCTCATTTTCTTTTCCTCTTTCCAAAGTGCTGAGAACACAGGTGTGTACCAGTATGGAAAGCTACTTCACAAATCTTTTACAATTGCCATTCCTACCAAAATCTTAAAGTTTTGTATGAAGCAGACCCTGCAAATATCTTTTAGAAAGCACCAGAAAGTTAATTTGGGGCAAAATAATTTTTAAATTTGAAGCCTCATTCTGGCAGTGAACTTTCAAACACTCTTATTTTAACCCGTGACAAAATAATAGAAATCTTGGCTTTAAATATTCAATCAACAAAACTTATTTTCTGAAGAAACACTGAGTAAATATTGTGTAACTTCCCAGACTCACCTGAAACTTTCTGTTTCAGAAGTGGTGTCATTACAAGGTATCTACCACCATTAATAGCAACTATGGTATATAAAAATCACAAAGAAGCACCTCTTATTTTAAGACATGTAAAAATGTCCTACTACACCAAAGGTTTACTGCTCAAGCCATACACCTTTCAGGAAACAGCCTCTTTACACAAAACAATTCCTACCTTTTAGAACTGGATAGCATCGATTCAGGAGTGTTGCTAGTTGTAAAAATTCTAAGTTCGAAATATGATGAGAGCATAAAGATGTAGCCAATAATTTTGGCCTTTGACATCGAGTCTGTAATCCAACCAAGACTGGCTTTGAATATCCATGTCCAAAGCAAACTTTGTTATCCAAAAGGAAAACCACGTGGTACCATCCCACAGAAGAAAATCCCAATGACCAACTTGGATGAGAAGTTACTTAGCCTTCTAATATTGCAAGAAACAAGTGAAATAATTAACTTAAGAATGCCCATTTTGCCTCACTGTCTCAGAAGTTTAAACCCATGGCTGGTTTGTTCCTAATTTGGGCCCGTGGTGAGATAAAAATGTAGCATGGATTGTTCAGCTCATACACAGTTCAACAGAGGCGAAAACCATAAGCAACTTTTCTCAAAGTCATTAGCCAAACAACTTTGAAGTGTTCAGAACCATAAAGAATTTAAAATTTTAACATTTGATTATTTCTCAAGCTCTGAGTGTTTTCCATATTCTGTAGTGAAACATTGTACTGTTCCAGGCTGTACCTATAACATAGTGCTGTAATAGACTGCTAGGATACCTGGTGCAGGAAATATTAAAAATTCTAATGATTGGAGAACTCTTCAGTAAGATGCAGTTTTGCAGAGGCCTTCTTACTTTCTGTCCCTTCACACTACCCTTAGCAAGTCCCATTTGGAGGAGGAAGCATGACACTGTAATAAAGGGCTAGCAGACCATCCTGCAGCCCAGCCTCCCCTACTGCACAATGCACTTCTTGTAGATTTGAAAGTTCTTCAGAAACTAACACATGATGTCTACCTGGAAAGCTGCAGCAAGCTCCATTTTTCTTTTGTGAAACTTTTCTATATGTTCAGTGGTTTCATTTCATGAGACTCGCACAAACTTCATTTTCAGTGGCTTAAAATGTTCAGTGTCTGCATTAGTGGCCATAGACTCTAGTACTAAAGACATATGAGGTTCAAGTGAACTAAGAAACTATTCTACAACTTCCTTGGTGTTTCCTTCGCTTGAAGGGCCTGGCTCTGGAACAGCAGCAGGTTTTGGTGTTACCGGACAATTTTCTTTGGAGAATTCACGCCTCTGCTTTTTTTCTTTTTCTTCTAGGCCTGCCACTACTTTGTACACTATGTTTTGTAAGTGTGGATCCAACCTCAGTTTGCTATGAGGTCTGGACTGGTGCACCACAATGCTGCATTTTGGACATCTGTTGCTATGATCAAAATGTTTTACGATGCAGCTTTTACAGAAGGAATGAAGACATTCTGTAATGGTTGTCGCATCTATTAAATAGCCTTTGCAAATAGAACAGGAGATGTATGGAGTCAGCTGCGAGAGGGGAACACAGCGCTCCTCCTGGTCAGACTCTTCCACTGCTGCCTCCGTTCCCTCAGTAGGAGACTGGGATGCCAGGCATTTCTGAGTCCCCTCCTCTCCGCTGGTAGACTGGTCTACCTTGCCATCTGGAGCTGCTGTGGTGATTGCAGAAGGTAAGTTCTGTCTTGCAGACCACACGGCCTCCTCTGCTCCTTCTGGTTTGGCAGCATCCAAGCTGGCCTCTTGAACTTCTGGGCTACTCTCCTCAGCTGGGCTTTCAGGAGACAAACTGGGCAAGGGCATGACCAAGTTTTGATGTAAAGTAGAGATGAAAAGTGAGGCAGAGGAGTCAGATGGGTAGAGATGTGGAGGCAACGAGTTTGAGACCTTGGAGTGAGACCCGGAGGATCGAGATGAGACAAGGCAAGGCCAGATCTTAAGCTGAGACCACCGGCGAAATCCTGGGGTGAGGTGAGGGCAAAACCAGGAAGCAAGGCAAAATCTAGAGACAGGATGAGGCAAGGTCGGAATTGGAGATGAGACAGGTGAGATGAGATCCGGAGTCAGGCGAGATGAGACCCAGAATCAGGGAGACCCAGAGTCAGGCCAGATTGAGACCCAGAGTCAGGCGAGATGATCCCCGGAATCAGCCCAGATGAGACCAGGGTCAGGTGAGGTGAGACCCAGAGTTAGATGATCCCCGGAATCAGCCCAGATGAGACCAGGGTCAGGTGAGGTGAGACCCAGAGTCAGATGATCCCCAGAATCAGGAGAGATGGTCCCCAGAATCAGGCGAGATGAGACCTCTGGAATCAGGCGAGGTGATCCCCGGAATCGGGCTATATGATCCCCGGAATCAGGCGAGATGAGACCTCTGGAATCAGGCGAGGTGATCCCCGGAATCGGGCTATATGATCCCCGGAATCAGGCGAGATGAGACCTCTGGAATCAGGCGAGGTGATCCCTGGAATCAGGCGAGATGATCCCCGGAATCAGGTGAGGTGCTCCCCAGAATCAGGCGAGATGAGACCTCTGGAATCAGACGAGGTGATCCCCGGAATCGGGCGATATGATCCCCGGAATCAGGCGAGATGATCCCCGGAATCAGGCGAGATGATCCCCAAAATCAGGCGAGATGAGACCTTTGGAATCAGGCGAGATGATCTCTGGAATCAAGCGAGATGAGACCTCTGGAATCAGGCGAGATGATCCCCGGAATCAGGCGAGATGAGAACCCTGGAACCAGGCGAGATGATCCCCAAAATCAGGCGAGATGATCCCCAAAATCAGGCGAGATGAGACCTTTGGAACCAGGCGAGATGATCCCCGGAATCAGGCGAGATGAGACCTCTGGAATCAGGCGAGATGATCCCCGGAATCAGGCGAGATGATCCCCGGAATCAGGCGAGATGAGAACTCTGGAATCGGGCTAGATGATCCCCGGAATCAGGCGAGATGATCGCCGGAATCAGGCGAGATGAGAACTCTGGAATCGGGCGAGATGATCCCCGGAATCAGGCGAGATGATCCCCAGAATCAGGCGAGATGAGACCTTTGGAACCAGGCGAGATGATCCCCGGAATCAGGCGAGATGAGACCTTTGGAACCAGGCGAGATGATCCCCGGAATCAAGCGAGATGATCCCCGGAATCAAGCGAGATGAGACCTCTGGAATCAGGCGAGACGATCCCCGGAATCAGGCGAGATATGAGATGATATCCGGAATCAGGCGAGATGAGACCCAGAGTCCGGGTCAGGCTAGGCGAGACCTGGGGTCAGGCGAGGCAAGACCCAGAGTCAGGCGAGATGAGACCCCGGTGTCAGGAGAGGGAGATGATCTCATTGTTGAGACAGCGAAACTGGACCCCGAGATCAGGAAGTAAGAAGAGATCAGGAAGCAACGTGCGACTGGGAGGTGCTTAGAGGCTCGAGGTGGCACGAGGGGGCGAGACCAGGAAGTTTGGCAAGACTAGAAGGTGGGACTGGATCCTGAGAAAAGACCTCCAGGGAAGGCTGAGGCAGGAAGCATGGTGCCACCACCGGGGAAAGTCAGAGTCATCAGGCAAGGAGAGACCCCGAGGCAACTTGAGACCAAGAGGACGGCAGTTTGAAGCGACTTTAGGGCAGGTGAGACGACAAGGCTTGGGGGTGGCCGAGCACAAAGAGAAGCCGGCCACACGCACAATAGGAGGGGGAAGTGGCAATAAGCAAAGAGTTCCACCAGCAAGAGACGATGGTGGACTAAAGTCGAGCGGGGTGGGGGTGGGGTGGGGGTGACACCAGGCTGCCTTTCATAGAAAGCTTTCAGGAATTCCACAGCTAAACTGGTGGTGGCGGCGGTGTGTGCCTTTAATCCCAGCATTTGGGAGGCAGAGGCAGGCAGATCTCTGAGTTGGAAGCCAGTCTGGGAGCATGCAGCCAGCTTTAAAGGAACCTTACCTAATTTTCCTTTTCAAAGTTTTCATACTCAGCAGTAGCTTTTAAAAACAACTAAAATTCTGTTGTGGTCTAACAAAATATTTTTTCTAGTGTAACAGGCACGTTACATTTATTTAATGTGTATATAAATATGCGTATAAGCAGACATGTACCACTATGGAGGTCAGAGGAAAACTTAAGACTTGGTTCTCTCCTTCTACCTTGTGAGTCCAGGAGAGCGAACTCATAACTTCTGGGCAATCTTGCCAGTAGCCTAATAACATTGTTTGCCTTGAGCATTGAGCAAGATCCCATGTGATGTTACGTTAGGAATAATAAAGATTTCTGTTTGAGCACTAAATGTGGCCTCCTATAGCAAATTGCATCCATCCAAAATTATTTTGTTAGAAAATATGAAATTTCTTTTTTGAAATACACATTGTTGAAAACCTGTCCATTAAGGCAGTTTGGAAATCAAATTGCTATTTGACCCCCCCCCTTTGCCCCATTCTCTCCCTCTCTTCACCCTTTCCTCTCTCCCTCCTGTATCCTCTTCTTCCCTTTCTTTCCCTATGACCTTCTCTCCCCCGCCCTCCTTTCCCTTGCTTCTGTTGTTAGTTGTTGTATGATTAGTATGTATAATTTGTTTTATATATAAACATATAATATATATATATATATATATATATATATATATATGAGTAATTGAAACTAGGGTCTTGTCCATGCTCAGCAGCTAGTCCTCAATTACTGAACTATATACTCATTTATAATTTTTAGTTTGAGACACCTAACAGGGCACTTTAAATTTCTGAATGAACTGACGGATATCTTGAGTGGGTGAAATGGGGTGGAACTTAGGCATTCTGCCTCTGAGTTCCAAGGTGTGATTGCAATAGGAACCCTCAGGCTTACAAGTTTTTGGAAAATTCTAGGCTGGGAATGTGACTCAGCACCAGCCTACAGGAGCCTTGGCATTAGTGGACTAGCTCATCTTCCAGGAGACTTACTTTCAATCCTAATAGTCTCAGGGTCCTGATGAATCTATGTAATGCATACAACCTTTCTTTCATCTTTTCTATAAATTATAATTTATGGGTAAGAGGAAAAACAACTGAAGATTTTCTCTTCCGAGTTCTAGGAAAACTGTGAACAAACGAGTTTCCTTCTACTGATTTCTCTCTCTCTTTACTTTTGGTAGACTTGTGAATGATGAACCTTGGTTTGCTGAAATGTGATCTCTTGTTCCCCACTGGATGTGAGAATGAACCAAAACACAGCCAAGGTAACTGAGAACTCAGGATGCTATACCTACGTACCCATGGAAAGGGGACTTGCTTAGTCTTGTAGAAACCTCTCACTGATATTTTCTGGCTACACACAAGGGTCTCTGGAGTGTACTTTCCTCCTCTTAGTCAACAGAGGAGGCCCGTCTAGATAGGAAAGTAACAATAATAGTTGTCCCAACACTTGTAAGTACTGCCCTGTCTACTGAACAGGTTCACTCATCAGGCCTGTTCTAGAATACTTGTAGGTAAATTACACCTCACTATTTGGAAGAGTTTTTTTTTAACTTTGTCTGTCTAGTCAGTGTAAAGGGGGGGTGCTCTCAGGAGGGTACTCTCTAGTCAGATTACCCCAGCACGTGTAGAAAAGTCAGCTTTCAAGTTGTGAATTTAGGATGGAATTAGGAATCCACAGCAATATGCAGTAAAACACAACAACAAAGGCATTAGCTGCCACAGTGCAAGTCTATAGCAGCCGTGAAATGATGCTTACTAGGAGAAAGGGCTTTGAGAGCATTGATTTGGGCCTTGAGATGAGATGGAGAGCATTAGAAAGGAACGCCCGTGTGCATGCGTGCGTGCGTGTGTGTGTAAAACTGAACACTGGGCATAACAGGGCCCTAAAAGGAAAGAGCCCATTTGGAGAGGAATCTCATTATGAAGGATCACTTAAAGTATACCTCTGGTGCCTGCTGGTGTGTTTGCAACATTGCTAGGCAGAGACATTTAGTGATGTGTTGTCCTAAAGAGAGGCCAGACCACCCTTCTTCCTATTCCCGTTACTGATCTTTAATCATGATTACAAGCAATAAGGAGATAATTGTCATTCAAAAGACTTTTTGTTATAGTTATAGATGTCAGGAAGACAGACTGAGATCAAAGGAGGGGACCCTGTGGTTGATCCTAAGAAAGGAAGAGGGAAGAATGTGGCAAGAACTTTAATAAGGGTCTCCCAGGGAAGAATTTGTTTATCTTACTTTTTGATGATAGCGTTCTTACTAAAATGAGAAGGACTTGATTTGAATTTTTCTGATGGTTAATGTTGGTGAGGTCTTTTCTGCAGCTCTGTTAGCCATTTGCATGTGTTTTCTTGAGAATGTCTACTTAGGTCTTTTGCTGACTTCTCGATTGGGTATTTGGGGTTAATCCTTGATTGGGATAACATTTTAAAGGATAACATCTTACTCTATAGCCCAGAGTATTCTGGAACTCCATATGTAGACCACCCTGGTTTCAAACTCTTGGCAATCCTCCTGCCTCAGTGTCCTGAGTGCTAGGAGCTACAGAGGTGAACCATTGTACTTAGTTTTATGTACTGGCTAGAGTTATCTGAAAGGAGGACGTCTCAGTTGAGAGAATGCTTCCATAAGATCCAGCTGTAAGGCTTTTTCTTGATTGATGAGGGAGGGCCCAACCCACTGTAGGTGGTGCCATCCCTGGCCTGTTGGTCCTGGGTTCTATGGGAAAGCAAGCTGAGCAAGCCATGGAAGAAGCCAGTAAGCAGCTTCCTCCATGACCTCTGCATCAGGTTCTGCCTCCAGGTTCCCGCCCTGTTTGAGTACCTGCCCTGACTTCCTTCAATAATTAAGCATGGTGTGC